GTAATCTCTTTTCGCGACAAACTTTTCCTCAACAAAACTGATTGCCGGAACTCAACTTGTCGCTATATTCAAACCAAACTTTGCCGAATTGCGAGAAGTCTTTCAAGCTCTCTCCTAGCAACGGATTTATGTGAAACGTGCCAACATTTTCGGAACGACTTACAGTATAGTGCTGGTTTCTGTCACGGTAGATCGCTGTATGGTGAGTAGAGTATGGTGAGCCGAGTACATAACGATCCAGTTTTAATTGTTGGAGGAAAGGACTAACCAGACTCTTTGGTATTTATGAACAACTACAGTAAAAACGGAAGGATGTTGCACATTTTGATGAATATTTGCAAAATGAGAATCGAATCTTTGTCAGAGGACAATCCATTATGCATCAGTGTAATCGATCTTAACTCGAACTTGGTATGAATTAAACTCATTTATTATGAATTACTGACTGAGAATATATGACCAATAATCTATACACAATTTTTCAGGGAAAAAGGGCTAGCGTAAGACTATTGACAAAAAGTCACGAGATAAAGAATGTATGCAACGAACTTGTCAGACGGCGAAACGAAGTTTCTCGGTTTCGCAGATTCGTTCTATCGCCATCAGAACAGATATCCCATAACCGGTGGGTTGAAGGAGAAATTCGACAAAGAACGTGTAACGAAGCAAATTCTTGATACGCTTTTACAAGAAATAAGATTAAACACGTACCATAAAGTCTCCAGAAGTTCGGAGAATTCTCTTGTCGAAGTAGTGGCCCGCCTAATAGAAATCAGCATGCATTGTTTGCCTCTGGAGCACGAAGTTGAAATTTTTAGATCTGGTTTTTATCGTTTTAAACGATATTTGTATTTGTAGTTGTGGTTGCTTTTTCTGAAATAAGCGACTAGTGCTGTTTGCATCAATTATCACTGGTCGTTCTGAATACAATGGAAACAATAGAATTTCGTCATGATTACGTCATGATTAAGCCACTGATCAGTGTACGGTACTAGACCACATCGCGCAGCACATCAAACTTGACAAAAAAAAAGAAATGACAACGATCGGGAAAACCGCACAGGGAGAGGGAGTTAAACGATGCCAAGGTGCAGTCGGAGAAGGCGGGAAAGGCGTTGGAAAAGTTGAGGGAGAAGGTGCTGAATGGAGAAGAACTTACTGCGGCGCAACAACAACTGTTGGCGGATCTCACAGGGAAGAAGACGAGGCTGGAGGAGAGAGTGGATTACTGGAGGAAGCAAGTTGAACGACAGAGTAAAGCAAGCAAAAGTCGTAAGCTTTACCAACAAAAGGGGGCAAGGGGGAAAATAAACCAGACATTATGATACGTGGTACTTAGTGGGAGGAATTAGTATATATTGAGAGTGGGAGGTGGAACTGTGATAATAAAAATATTCGTAGAGATCATAATAAGTTAGTACAACTTTGTATAGACGGGGTGAAGAATTTTTAAAATATGCGATAGAGAAGCTCTTGGTGAAAAATATATAGGGTTTGGTGTTAATATTGCGGGTAATCATATTGAAATATCTGGGCTGATACGTCAAGACAATATCAAATACTATCTTCCGGTTTCGAAAGCCAAAATACCTTTCGAGGAAGAATCAGCCAAAGAAGTGGAAGAACTTATCCATGCTCTATTGACTCTACGGGTAAATATTTTTATTTACACAAAGTTAATCTTACGTCTACCTGATACTAACTACGTACTGTTTGTATTTTTCAGAATGGCATTATTGTGAATGGACAATGTATTTTCAATAAGATCTAGAATGGATAATGGAGGAAATGTTACGGACGATGAATTGGCCGCAGCAAATTATGTGATAAAATCTTACTCCGTGGTCCGCAGTCCGCAGTCCGCAGCCTGGAGTAGTAACACTAGAAATTTCATTGCCGATTTAGATACAATTAGTCGCAATGAAAAGGACCCAATTTTGGTAATAATTTATGACGCAAAATTAGTGTTTGGCGCGTTATATAAGTGACCATTATCCCATCGTCTAGCTCTCATGTTGACATATGAATGTTGAATGTTGAGATGTTGTTCTGGTATTATTGTTATACTTATATTCCACGGAATTGTTTTTATCCACGAAATAAATAACAAAATTTTAATTTCCTTTTCAAATTACTTTCTTTCTATCAGTTGATCGTCGAATTTATCGTATACTTGTTGCCTACAGTATTTCGAGACTATTGTGGTGATAAGATTGAGTAGTGGGTGAAAAACTAGCGAAAGTTTGTCCGTTCAGTTAGTAAAGCAATTGCTTGAAAGCGTACAGTAATTGGATATTATTTGGCGAACGACAATTATTTATTTTATTCGTTTAATTAGTTATTAAGGTAGAAGTGACGTAAATTGACTAGTCAAAACACCAAATCGAAGTATTGCCCTGTTTATTAATATTAAAGGAAAGTTCCCCTTCGATTCTATAGATAGTATAATTGTTAATATTATTCGTATAGATTCCCTTATTTGGATACGAACGTTGGATTACGTTACGTATAGGGATTAGGAAGCGCGCATAATTAATTAATAAGGAACGTCACTATAGCTTAGCATTCAGTCTTAGTTGATACTGTCGCTGAAGTAAGGGCAGCGGTAGCTGAGCTAATTGAGTCAGATCCCCCTGTCGGCCGAACCGCCTACAGTTCGCTCTCCCACAAATCTCCCTAATTAAATACGCCGACCGTAACAGTACTAACCCCTCCTCCTTTGGATTACAAAAGGCAAGAGTATCTTTACAAAAATATTCGCCCTTTTGTCAGAGATGAGTTTAAAGACATTATTTGTCCAATGCCAGTGCAAAGTTTTATTAAATAATAAATTATGGTTATTCAAGATTTGTTGCAGCATAAAAATATATTATGGAAGAAAAAAAATGCATGGCTTGTATCAAGCAATGCTTCCCTAATGAAAAAGGTCAGCTTACAAGTTTAATTTTTGATCATGGAACTGTGCTTGCTTCAGTCAATCCGCGCCCTAACTCTAAAGCTCACACAGTAATAGTCACTAAAAGACATGTTGATGATCTAAGAAATCTTACAGAGCAAGAATGAGCAGATATTTTACCATGTTTGAAAGATTTTAAAGTATTAGAAAAATTAATCAAGTTTATCATCCAATAGGCTATCGATTAAATATTCCTGTTGGCAAATTAGCAGGCCAAAACATGCCACAGCATTTTTATATGCGAGTAGTACCAAAATACTCAGTTAAAGGTAAAGGAAGCACAGGAACTAGAGAACATTACAAATCAGCTACCCCTGAACAAAAAAAAGAAATTAATGAAGCTCTTTCTCCAAATAAAGATGGTATTGTTATTGAAAAGAGTAAAGTAATTGCTAAACTACTACTACATAATGATAAATTTCCTGGTTATGTAACTATTCTTACAAAAGAACATTTATCTCCTAATGTCAACAAAATTGACCAAGAAACTTGAGCCCAAATTGGAGAAGTTATCAGGGACTGATGAAAAAATATGAAACTAAAATAAACTGCCATAATTTTTTTATTGGTTGTAATTTGGGACAAGCAGGCAAACTTGTAGAACAAGAAAAGGGAGAAACTTCATCAAGCAAAAAACGTGACTTATGTTTTACTTTCTTTCCTAAATACAAAATGGAAAGGTGATGGATGCCTGATGAAGGCAGACCTGTTTGAAACAATCAACCAGTAGGTACTATGGAAAATGAAGGAATTGCAGAAAAACTGAATGACCCTAAAGAATATGCCAAAGTTTGGGGTAAACAGGATAAAAATCAAGAAATAATCAAACTATCAAAAGAATTGACTGAAATTAAACAATTAGAAGAAGAAAAAGAAAAAAAGCTCAAACAAAATATCTCCATTATGATTAATTCCAGCAATGCTTATAGCATCAGGGGTTACTATTACAGCCCTAGTATTTTGGTTGCTAAGAAGAAAAAAAGCTCACCAATAATCAATGTTTTTTATATAGAGGTAATCCTATATTAATCATGTTATGGTTTATATTTATCACATTCTGGTATGATAAAGTGAGCATTAAAATAACAAGTCTATGAGCACCATTATTACTTTTCAAACATCATCAGTCATACTGATCAATTTTACAGCCACATCATAATCAGCCTCTCATTTATATCACATAGTCAAATGTTCACTTTGTCTGGTTTTGTTGCAGTCTGCCCCAAGTGCTTATTTGGTGTTCAAAATAAAAAAACAGATTAATTATGTTCTTGATGAAAATAAAATAGTAGGTAAAAGTTCTAGTAGCACGCTGTCAATGGGATTAAGAGATTAATAAAGGTAAAAATTCTCGTAATGCCATGATTTAATCTTCATTTGCGCATTCGTGGTTATTATTATTATGAAGCTATAAAATTAAATTTAGCAGTTTCAGACTAATTAAAAAAATTGTCAAAGTTTAGCTGGGTGCTAATAGACAATCCTGGCAATAACACTCCTCTTTTGAATTACAGAGACGAGAGTATCTTTGTCAAAATTCGTGCATTACTATTATCAGAAATAATCCTCTACATTATTCAATACTTATTAATTTCTTAAAATTAAGTTTTTGTCTAATTTTTAACTACTATTGCTAGCTTTCCGCTTTTATTTTTTAAAATTAACCAAATAAAAAATAATTATATTATAATTATGGAATTTAATGAGGGTTTTGGTTATTTCATCGATTTTGGCTTGGGTTTGCACTTTTTGGTTCGTGTCCTGTTTTTAAAAATTTCGTATAGGAGGAAATAATAAATCCAACCAACATGAAACCTTTCGAATATAGAGCTTATTGTTTCCTTTGTTTTAAATACTTGTAGGTTGGTGAAATAACCTTCTACTAATTGAATGAAAAAACTGTCTGCAAAAAATTGAACCAGTTACTCAGGTAAATGACCCTTTCATTGATAGGTTGTCCACTCAGCTAGTATTGTTGAAATTAACGAGATTACGAATATATCGATTATATTATTAATAGCATTATATCATTTATTAACCGTGCGATTGTGCGAAAAGTATCAGCCATAGAACGCCAGTTAAAGTGTCTAAATATAATCGCCTGATCCTGAATATAACTAACTATATAATTGAAGACCGCGAAGGCGAAACTAGAATAAAGTCAACCCCTCTTTGTAATCACAACAAGGCGCATAACGTTTTATACGCATATTACTAATTAAGACTCTTATTGAAGATTTTAACTGGCTGCAGGGGTAATACAAAAATCACAAAACGTAAAAAGATTTTCAACTATCATTTTCGAGATTTGCCTGCTCTTTTGAAATCACAAAGAGTGTTATGGTTTTTAGAATTAGATCTCTTCGCTCCTTAGGTAGTAGTAGTAATATTAACGTCGGCTTATTACGGAAACATCAAGTGTGTATTATTTGAGCATTTAATTGCAAGACTGATTACTTTTTGTCGCCAGTGCCTTATGCTCGTTACCGTGTTCTCATTCGTTTCTTCAATGTTCTACCAAGTACGTTTCAAACATGGCGTCTTTTTCAGCTTCCGCTGCCAAACGCACACCTTATCCAGTCGACACGTCTGTGGGCCCCATGCTACGCTATCAGAAATCTCTTCCCCGGCTTCCCGTCCCTCCACTTTCGCCGACTCTCGACAAATATTTGCAATCCATTAAACCACTATGTACGCCAGAAGAATATGCAAAAACCGAAGCAGTAGTGAACGACTTTCGCAAACCAGGCGGTATGGGCGAGGTGCTTCACAAGAGATTACTAGACAAGGCTAACACTCCTGGAGTAGTAAATTGGTTGGAAGATTGGTGGAATGAAGTGGCATACTTTGGTTACCGTGATCCTGTAGTTGTCTATGTGAGTTATTTTTATTCGTATAAAGACGATCCAAAGCGAAAGGACCCTGCTAAGAGAGCGGCTGCTATTGCTACGGCTGCAATGGAGTTTAGAAAGCTGGTTAACACGTGAGTATTGATAGGTTGATGTATCAATGCGCGTGAAACATGATCCGTACGGCCTTTAATCCTCAATGTGTTATACTATAACTTTTCTTCCCCCAAAATCTAGCCAACAACTAGAACCAGAATACGCCAAAAACCTTCCTCTCTGTATGGACAGCTACAAATGGATGTTCAACGCATGCCGATATCCCGCGAAACCTTCCGATTACGAGAAGGCTTTTGATCCGGATAAGAACAACCATATTGTTGTGATCAGGAACAACAAGTTTTTTATCATTGATCTCGTTGTAGATGGACAGCAGTTGTCTACCGCTGAAATTGAGAGGTGAGAGGTGTAGGATAGATAAGCTTTTTTGTATAGATAAGGGAAAGGGACAAGATGAACAAAAACACGCGAAAATTTAAGACGACGAAACACTTGCAAATTATTAGCATCATATACGCATAATATGGAAAATGCGTATACAGTAATTTAATAGAATGTCTGTATCACTGTTTCTATTGCTCATCCAACCAGCCAGATCCAAAAGGTCTATACCCAAGCCGGCTACTCTAAAGATCCCCCAATTGGTGCATTGACGACCGAGAACCGTGATAACTGGACGGATTATCGATCACTGCTTCTTTCTATAGATCCTAAACACGCGGCAAATTTGGAAAAAATTGAAAGTTCAGCATTTGCCATATGTTTAGATGATTCGACACCGGTCACGAGAGATGAACTAAGTCACGCGTGCTGGGTAGGAGATGGAAGAAACAGGTTCTTCGATAAAAGTTTACAATTCATTGTGTTCGATAATGGAAAGGCCGGTTTTAATGGAGAGGTAATGAAATAGGCTGTTGAAGGGAGAAAGCTTTTACAATTTAAATCAGGCTAAGGTTAAGCCTGCAAATCTAAATTGTATTCGACTAGTCTGCGCATCCGGTTTCGTTGATTTTGTGTTTTTGGTCATTTAACACTCAACGGCTATTTTTTTAAAATTTTTTTGTAAATAGCACTCCTCGATGGACGGCACCCCAACCTGTCGACTAAACGATTACGTCTGCTCTGTCCTCTTTAATGACAAAATCTCTCACGGCTCTCCGACAGTTCGCCCAAACCTTCCCACTCCAAGCCAACTTCACTTTACGTTCACGCCCGCTTTAGTTACAGCTATACGTTCTGCTGAAAGTAATTTCGATAAACTAGTCTCCGAGCACGACCTTCGCGTTTGCTCGTACGAAGAGTATGGGAAGAACACGATTAAGAAATTGAAATTGTCTCCGGATGCATATGCTCAGATGGTGATACAACTTGCGTATTATAAGATGCATGGGACAGTTAGGGCGACCTATGAAAGCGCTCAGACAAGAAAGTTTCAGCATGGAAGGACAGAAGTGTGCCGAACCACATCAGTAGATTCGCTTAAGTGGGTTAAGGCTATGGAGAATCCAGACGTGCCGGTGAGTCGGTAAACGAAATAAAGTCTGACAGATAATTTAATTGTAAGGGGCTTCAATTGATCAACTATTGTGAAACTCGATCCATCAAATTTTTGCTTAATATAGATCGAAGAAAAGGCAGCCTTGGGTCGTAAGGCAATTGCGGCACACGTGAAGTATATGTCCGAAGCTGTTGAAGGATTTGGATGTGATCGGCTATTATTTGGTAAGGCAATGTTTCCCGTAACTGATTAATCACACGACAAAAAAAAACAAAACAAAAAAAAGTAGCATATGAAACACAATCCCGCATTTTGAATTTATCAACTTTACGATGATACAATTTCCAAGTGCAGGAAGTGGTTCATGTGTCGTGGAACTAGTATTATTCGATCCGTTTACTTCCGGTTTTATTCATTGATCATTTTATAGGTCTTCGCATGTTACTGAAACCCGATGAACCCAAACCATCAATCTTCACGGATCCCACCTACGCTAGGTCTACTCACTGGAACCTTTCTACCTCGCAACTTTCTTCCGAATACTTTGTTGGCTATGGATGGGGAGAAGTCGTGCCCGATGGTTACGGAATTGCATACATGATTAATAACAATTGGATGAATTTCAATATCGTGAGTAAACATTTAAAGAACGATCACATGTGGCACTACCTGAGAGAATCGGCGAAAGAAATGAGGGAGGTGTTTGAATATGCATTGGCTAAGGAAGGAAAGGTTGACGCTAAGCTGTAATTGTGCTGTTGTTCTTAAATATTTACGGGTTTGGACGTTTTAGTTATAGATTGAATAAAGCTTATTTATTGATTGATACGTGAAGTAATATGTATACGCATGCATGCATTCTTAATATTATAATTAGTCTAGGTTATATGAGTTAAAGTACAATGTATATAAAATTTGTGTTAAACTGTGAGACGTCTATTGTAATTGCGCCCATATTGAATACATTCTCGGTTAAAGACAATAGTTTTTTCACCTGGAACACAGAACCAAAATGTCAATGCAAAACGCTTACTATTGCTATTACGTGAAGAGACCTTACAGAATCATATGTTAGTGTTGGCAGATCGTTATGCGAAACCCCCTGATCGTCCTCCTTCGACGATTGGTTTAATGCTTCACGTAAGCAAGAGGGAGAAGAATGCTGTTCTAACAACACGCTTCTGCGAAGCGATATTGTCTTAAGCGTGTTTGTGTCATACTTCTGATCTGGACAAATATGGAAACACTTTTGCAGCAAGGGGTGCATTTATTATGTGATCGGTCGCGTGTTTTAATTTGCTTCTAATCCAAATAAAGAATAAAGGGGTCGGTCGCGTGGTCAACAGGGGAAATAACAGATTGGCTGGTTAAGTAAACACATCTAACTAATTCCATCTTGCATATATCTGTCCTTTGTACTGTCTCTCACTTTATGCAACTGCTCGTTCTGATATCGAACATTTGTATATACCGGAAGGATTTGGGACAGCTTTTTTATTGCAAGAAATAAAGAATAGCTAACAGTTATCGGGCAAGGATAAACAATAAGGGACTATAGCTAACGATGATAATAAAGGATTTAACTCGCCCTCTCCCCGTCCATTTAGCGGATGGCTGTGCACAGATATAATAGGCAATGGCCTGGGGGAATGTGATGTATGGGATATATTGTTAGGATATGTGATAACTGATTGCTATTAATATACAAACCATTATTAATCGGTTTGGAGGCTCCTCTCTCTTTGTCGTTATTTATTAATAGTAGCATAATGAAATATCGCGACACTCGCTCAGCATATGACGCAAAAAAAGATGTGTTAACTGAATAGAGTTTAAAGTGTGTTGGTTGTCGAATTAGCATTTGAAACTTTTAGTCATATGACAGATCAGTCATGAGAACACCGCTTATCGATAATGCATAACAATGATGTGATATAATTTAATATAATAATAATTATAGTGACAACAATTAATGTGGATATAATATTATTTTTATTGAATGTAGTTGTGTATTTACACAATCAATTATATATATATATACACCCTTTTCTCCTTTCCGCTCTGCAAGGGAGAGCGTGTTCATGTCGCTAATAATTGATCAGTAATAGATCTATCAAGAAATTTGAGGACCTTTTTTATACATTATTAGGATATACTAATTAATAGACAATCACACATGAAACGACCCTCGCTCTCCGCATTCCTTTTCTGTATTTCCCTTTCTCTCAACGTCCTCCTTTCTCATTCACATCGCGTTCGCCTCCCCAACTATGGTATAGACCTCTCTCAGCAAAAATATGTTGCCCGTCCAGTACACGAGTATGTCTATTCCTCCTCTTCCAGAACAAACCCAACCAGTATAGCGGAAGAATTTGCCCGAAAACATTTAAGTGCAGCTGACTTACTGATCAAGAATGCGTATAAATCGGAGCATAATGGGATTACGCATGTATATCTGAGACAGATTGCTAATGGGTTGGAGATTGTTAATGGAGATATTAATGTAAACGTTGATGATCAAGGAAGAATTATCAGCCACGGAACCTCGGGTTATGGAATGCCCTCAAGTTACCCGATTTGTGCACATTCTTGTCATATGAACTTTACAACTGATAAGGAAATTAAAGACGAAGGAAATACAAACCAATTTGTCATTGGATCAAAAAGAGGACGTTCTCGCCGCGGACTTTGCTCTAATCAGAATCCCCACAACGTTAATCGTCATATTCGTAATTATGGTCGTACGCCGAGGTTAACGCCTATTGAAGCATTACAACGTTTCGCACGACATATTAATCACGAAATTGTCAGGCCCTCGAACATAATAACGAAAACCTCTTTCGACTCCTCACCTGTATACCAACTTTCCAACGTTCCCTTTGCCCTCTCTGATGTAATTATAAAAGAAGCTTACATTGCCGTGTCTGCATACCTTCTTGAACCAGTGTGGGATCTCACGTGCGAAATGGAAGAAAACTGGTATCATGCTCAGATAAATATGTACACTGGACGGATCCATGCCATCATAGACTGGGTATCGGATGCAATGTATACTGTCTATCCACTAGGAATAAATGATCCATCCGAGGGAGGTCGTACGACTGTCATCGATCCGCATGATGTCATATCATCTCCTGGCGGTTGGCATACACAGGGCAAAGTCAACTATACCTCTACCATCGGAAATAATGTTTACGCTCACGAGAATTTGGCCGGAAACTGGGAATGGAAAGACAATTATCGACCGGAAGGTGGTGTTGATCTAGTGTTTGATTTCCCTCTGGATCTGAAAGACAGGCCTAAAGATTACATCGACTCGAGTATTACTAACCTATTCTATTGGAATAACATGGTAAGAAGATGCTGTGGCTGATGAACAACAGTTGCTGATTAGTCAACAACCCTATTTGTTTACTGTCGTTTGTTTGTTTGTTGCCCTTATTTTAAATGCCATCGATTTGATCCCATATTAGATTCACGACCTCTTCTATCGCTACGGCTTTAATGAAGTGGCTGGTAATTTCCAACAGAATAACCATGGAAAAGGAGGAAAAGAAAAAGATGCTGTCATCGCTAATGCACAGGATGGATCAGGGTATGTGCACGTGATACGGATTTATGTTTATAGCTGTGTAACGCTGTTATCATCGACATGTTTATATATTGCATTATGCACGTCATTTCGTCGATCATGTCTACGCCTGCATATCGTCATCATTCTGTGACACTACATGCATCACCCCCTTTATCGCGTAGTTAGAGAGCAGACGTATTTACATCTCATTTTTTTGTCCATCTGAACAGTTACAACAATGCAAACTTTGCAACTCCACCAGATGGTCAACACGGTAAAATGCGTATGTACGTGTGGGATGTTGTTAAACCATGGAGAGATGGTGATCTCGAGTCTGGAATTGTTGTAAGTTTATCAAACTGGGGAATAAAAAGGGAGGAGTTTTGTACTGTAGTACCAGTATGGTATGCACAGATGATGTGATCATGCCGAAGATAACCGGATTCAACCGTTTCTTTCCAAACCTCAATTAGATCCATGAATACAGTCACGGAATTTCAACTCGTCTAACTGGAGGCCCGGCCAACAGTGGATGTCTCGGATGGGGTGAATCTGGCGGTATGGGAGAGGGCTGGGGTGATTACTTCGCCACGATATTACGTGTCAAGCCATCCATGGATCGTTCTGTTGAGTTTGGCATGGGCGATTGGGCCAATGGTGGAGAAGGAATTAGAAGATATAAGGTGAGTGGTGGTTATTTTGTGGGGATTTAAAAAAAAAGGTCATCTATAACATGAAAATGTGCATGAGGATCAAGATCATATCCTAATTTTAATTTTTAAATTTCCTTCAATTTGGACAGTATTCGACATCGAAAGAGGCAAATCCCGAGACCTTTGTTTGGCTAAGCAAACCTGGATACTGGGGCGTGCATGCGAAAGGGTAAGTAAGCAACAGCTATACGGTTAGCGCATGGCGAATCTTTTGGCGTCAAATTGTATAAACTCACTTTTCCGTTTACCTCCAACAGCGCTGTTTGGGCAAACATGCTATATGAAGTATTCTGGAACCTAGTTGACAAACATGGCTTTACCACACAATGGTTCCCCCCAACATCCACAGATCCTGATGATCTTCTCTCGTGGTATACATTCTCGACAACACGCAAATACCCCAAGCACGGAAATACACTGGCGATTCAACTCGTCGTCGATGGAATGAAGCTCCAACCCTGCCGTCCAACATTCATTAATGCGCGTGATGCGATATTACAAGCGGATGAAGTGTTAACCGGTGGTGAGAACTTCTGTGAGATTTGGAAAGCTTTTGCGAAAAGAGGTTTAGGCACTCAGGCGAAGGTTGTAGGCGGAACGCCATGGGGTGGCGGTGAAAGGAAGGAGAGCTATCAAATTCCGAAAAAGTGTAGGGACGATGATTATAATTATGATTATAGTGAGGATTGAATTAAGAAAACAATGGTTCGTTATAGAAGAGTAAGGGTTTATGAGGAAGTTTTAAGATCCACGAAACATATTCATTAGCCTCTTAATCGGTTAGTTGTGACGAAGGCATGGGTAAAACTGTCTTCGTCTGTAGATGCTTTCCTCATAACGAATTACGTGTGTATAAATTAAATTATAAATACATATAATTATACAACTGAGAGTGTGAATTTGCAGGGAATGTAGATATTGACTAGAGCATTTATAATTATACACATATAGTCAAACTACGTAATCAAGACGCAAATGAAAAAGCATTATTGTTGCAAATACGTCTACGAGCTTTTTTTGTTTCACAGGCCTCGATAACAATATGAGATAAAATATGTTGTAATATAATAATTTCATGCAGCACAGTGAGAACGATGATAACATTGCTTCAATTTCATAAAAACCTGAAAGGTAAGAATTATTCTTACAATGTATGCCGCTATCATTTCAACTCCATTCCAGCTAACATAAACATTAATATGTGATTTATGTTATATTATCATTAATATTATATTGTTGATAAAAATTCAGGCGTGCAATTTAACGCAGTTGATGTGTATAGTTATATTGAATTTTCAAGTTGAATATTTATTGGCAAGTCACAATGCAAATCATTTACAATCAACTTTAAGTCGAATTTTGGGTAAAACTAATTACAATATTAAACTTTCACATCCTCTTAATCAAGAATCTCATCCGCATCGTTATCCATACTATCTATTGCCATTTCCTCCCCTGTGGCTGCATGGTTTTTCATTATTTCGATGTCAGATCCATCTGGTTTAATCGTGATCTTTGCTACTTCTCCGTTTCTAATACTACCGTCTACAAAAAAATAATGATTGTGATTAATCTTTGTGATGTTTTCATGTACTTCTTCATACGACATCAAATTCTACTTACCAAGAATCATTCTGCTCAATTGATTTAAGATTTTATGTTTAATTAATCTATGTATTGGTCTTGCACCATATACCGGATCATATCCATTCTCCGCCATCCAATCATTTGCTTCTGGAGAAGCAACGAGCGCAATCTGCCTATCTTGAAGGCGCTCGTTTATCTGATTCAGTTGCAATTCTACAATCTTGCGCACGTCTAAACATGAGCAAATGTATGTTAGTTATTCGAACCGTGTTGGATTAAACAGCAAACATCATCTTAGCCACTTACGCTGACGTCCAAGTGGAGTAAATATTATAATGTCATCAAGACGGTTGATGAACTCGGGACGAAAATGACGTTTAACATCACTCATCACCGCATCTCTCACAGAGTTGTCGATTTGATCGGTTAAAATGCCTTGCAAATGGTAAGAACCTAAATTACTAGATATAGCAACGTATTACCATTAACGAACGATTCGAACATTCAGTTATGCATATATTTACAGAATTACATTACCATGACATACCTTGTTAGGATAATAACTGTATTACTGAAATCAACAACTCTGCCCTGTCCATCAGTTAATCTACCATCATCTAGCACTTGAAGCAAAATATTCAGTACTTGTACGTGGGCCTTTTCAACTTCGTCAAACAACACTACACTATATGGACGTCGTCTGACAGCTTCAGTGAGTTGCCCGCCTTCGTCATGTCCGACATAACCAGGTGGCGCTCCGATCAGACGAGCAACAGAATGACTACAAGTGAGAGTAAAGTATTAATTAGAACTATATTGTTCTATTAATACTAGGTGATTCTGTATTATTACGTAATCAACGAGCTTTGCATTCACATACCTCTCCATGTACTCAGACATGTCAATTCGAATGATATACTTCTCATCATCGAATAACTCTTGCGCAAGTGCCTTACTTAGCTCAGTCTTACCAACACCAGTAGGACCGAGGAACAAGAAACTACCAATTGGTTGATGCTCTCTTGCTAGACCGGCCCTACTTCTTATTACGGCATCAGCGACTGCTTGCACAGCTTCATTTTGTCCAACGACACGTTTGTGCAAACTCTCAGCTAAGGTCAAAAGTCTTTCTGCCTGACTCTTTGAAAGTCTTGATACAGGAATTCCGGTCCATCTGGAAACAACCTCCATAATCTGTTCTGGCCCAACTACATCTGTGAAGAGGAGGTCTGAATCACTACGTCTTTGATCTTCATCAGCTTTCTCCGTTTCGATTCGGACGATTTCTCTTTCAATTTCAGGTATGGCGTAGTATCTCAAGTCCGCTGCCACAGCAAAGTCTTTGCTTCTTTCTGCATCTTCCGCTTTTGCTTTTACTTCCTCAAGTTTCTGCTTTAAATCTCTTAATCTGTCTAAACGTCTCTTTTCCTCCTCATATTTGGCTTTGAGCGGTAACAGCTCGTCGTTAATTGTACTGATTTGCTGTTTCACCTCTTTTAATCGTTTCTTACTAGCATCATCTTTTTCTTTAGAAAGTGCAGTGGCTTCAACTTCGAGTTGTAGCAAGCGTCGTTCCAAGTGATCTATTTTTTCGGGTCTTGAATCTAGTTGGACTCTGGTATTGGCACATGCCTCATCCATTAGATCAATCGCCTTGTCGGGTAAGAATCTGTTGGTGATGTAACGTGCTGACAGTTGTGCTGCGGCAACAAGTGCTGCATCAGCGATTTTTACACCGTGATGATTCTCATATCTCTCCTTTAATCCGCGTAACATACTTATAGTATCTATTACGGAAGGCTCCCCGACATATACCTGCTGGAATCTTCTCTCAAAAGCTGCATCTTTTTCAACGTATTTACGGTATTCGTTTAACGTTGTTGCACCGATACATCGTAATTCCCCACGTGCGAGCATTGGTTTTAATAAATTGGCCGCATCCATTGAACCTTCGGTTTTACCAGCTCCAAGAACAAGATGAATTTCATCGATAAACAGTATAATGCCCTCTCGAGAATCTTTCACCTCTTTAAGAAGCGCCTTGAGTCTTTCCTCAAATTCACCACGGTATTTAGCTCCAGCTAATGTAAAAAGACGGGTTAGTATCAAACATATCATAGCACCATATTATTACACGTAAAAATACATACCAATGAGAGCACCCATATCTAACGAATACAATTTACAATCAAGTATTCTAGGTACATCCTTTCGAAGAATACGTTGGGCCAGTCCTTCAACAATAGCAGTCTTTCCGACACCCGGCTCACCAATCAACACGGGATTGTTCTATAAAAAAGAGAAATCATCATATTGGTTTTTTGATTGTAGGCAGTAAAACAAAAGCTGCATATCTTACATAATCTAATATTCTTTCCACGTACCTTCGTGCGGCGAGCAAGAACTCGAATTACGCGACGAATTTCATCATCTCGACCAATGACAGGATCGAGTTTACCATTTTTGGCTTGTTCTATGAGATCAATTGCATACTTGCTAAGGGCTTCGTAGTTCTCATCTGCACTTTTCGTTTCCACGCGACGATTTCTTTAACATTAAAATTTGGTTAATTTGATGCAAACGCTTTTTGGGAAATCTCGAATGCGCATGGACCTAAATTCTAAAGAAAACCCACATACCCTCTAACTTGTTTAATTGCGATTTCAATTGTCTTTTTACTAACTCCAGCTTCATTCAGCGCATTTTCGCATTGCCTATCTTCAAACAGTGCCAATATTAAATGATCTTGTGATATATAGGCATCTTTCTGCCGTTGTTGAATGTCATGTGCAGCTCGAAAGACTTTTGTCGCTTGCGGCGAAAACCCCAAATCTGTAGGAGCAGGTTCTTGCACCGGCAACTTCACGAGCAGTTTTTTGAGATTTCGCTCAGCGGCAACGGCGTCGCCGCCAGATTTATTGATTAAAGACCTGAACAATGAATCACCGTCGGTTGGCTCAATGAGTGCACAAGCCAAGTGTACCGAAGAAACTTGAACATGAGAATATTCGCGAGCAAGTTCTATTGCCGCTTTGATTGTTTCTTCTGTTTTGTCAGTAAAGTTAAAGTTGTTCATAATTATTATTATACAGTGTGTTAGATAGTAACTGAGTCTGATTTAAAGAAATTGCTGTCATGCATCCATCATTCGTTTGTCTTATATATTCGCAAGAACGCCACGTCTCCATTTCCGAGAATGTTGTGGAGGGAACTAGAATTATTTTGCCATGATCCAGTTCACTGAAGTCATGTGTCATACATAGCGAAATTCAGCCAAATCAGTTCAATACATAAACAATGTTGCAAATCGGGTTTAAATGCGGTCTCGTGTAACCTAAATCCTTATAAGCCAGTCTTTACTATGCATATCGTATCCCATATAGGTTCAAGTCCCAAAGTCAGGCCACAAAAACCTGACCTGTTAAATATTTGAGTAAGATATTTCTGGCGCCGCTCACGTGAATCATTTTTTACAAATCCACAATTTCCACACTTTGATGTATACTCTTCCGTGCATTCAATGACCTTGAACTCTGAAATGCGACCAAGTCAGCATCGCAGGTGGCTGCCTTCAATCGAATCTTTCAAAACCATCCTCGAAGATTCGAATTTGGGTAAACATTAATTCATGCAACGTCCTGTTTGTTTTGTATGTTCCCATTAATTGTCGAATCGCGTACGAACGTATTTCCCTAGGGGTCTCTTTTATCTAGAGGAGTTCTTCAATTGTGAAGTGCTCATTATTTTTCGTATGACGTTCATATCGGTAATTCCGTCGTCCTGCACTATATCAAGAACTTTGTTGTACGTCCCATCTCACAGTTCCCATATACTTTTTTAACCTTTCTCTCTCTTCGGGCGTTGGATAAAGCCGTATCTTTCGTGTTTTTAATCTCTCTTTGTCGTTTTTGATTTTCAGCCGAGTCCTATAGATTGATAATAGGTTTTCGGGAATTCGTTGTCATTAATATTAAGGAACTGAGTACCACGATCTTAGTACTGCTCTTGCCAAGAGCCCATTCGACGCAAATCTGCAGAGACGCTCCTTCCTGGTAACCCTGTGCGATCGTTCCACTATAGAATGCAAAGCCCTTGCATTCCGGTCGAGACCTGACCCAATGTCTCTTCTGAACAAAACATATATACTTTACAAAAATTATTGAATCATTGACAACGATGTAATAATGGTAATTCAATATTCTTCGTCGCATAATTATCATGCATGTATGCTGAAAAAAACTACGAAAAAAAAATTATTAGATTTGGGAAGAAGTTGTTATCCAAATGAAATATCGAAAGCCAGTGAGAAGAAAAATAAACTTGATCTTTTATCTATCAGCATGTAATAGTATGGTGTTTTTTTCTACAATTATATGGGAATTTATTGCAAGAATGAGATTTAGCTAAGAATAGAGTTCAATACATGTGACTTGAAGTACGTGGCGTACTTCACCAGATGCTAATTACTCTTTTACTATATTTTAGAAAAGACACTAGAGACCACAGTGAACACCAATTAAGTATTTTCCGACCATAATAGTATACGCACACGTTTAATGTTTGTGTAATATATTTAACCGTAAAGACAAGCTGCTGATATGTATTGCCGTCTCTATCCATAAATATCTGAAGAAGACAACTTGCAAGTTGCCGTCGTAATGATCGTAGCTGTCCAATGAAACTAGCAGTAGTTTTATCAATGTATAAAAGAAGAAAATTTAATACCAAAGTGTCGGGGGAGGCATCCACGATTCGGTATAGTGAGGTACTTCTATATAACGAAGTTAGGCCTAAGGTCAAGCAATATTCGGTATAATGAGACAATATATTTACTTCAATTTACAATCAATAATACATGAATATAATTAAACAGTTATACTAATCCAATCACTATAAAGCTGATTAGTAGTATATGTAAAAATTCTGTGCATCGAACCTCGATAGGGGTATAACGAGATTTAACTATTAAAATTTGTTATAACGTGGGAATTTTACTATTCAGAACCAGAATTCCTTTGGTCTAACGAAAATTCGCTACGGTTTAATGAGGTTCAACTAAATGCCTTGGCCGTGATAGTGTTTAGTACCAAATCGTTCCGAAGAATAATAAAGCAAAATACGTTCCCGAAGAGTATACGATACTAATACTAACATTTGATTTTTTTATCTAATGGCAATTTAACTTTTGTTACGTTTTTTAGCAGTTGGAACATCACGGTATAATTACATGTACGGAAAGAAATTGCTACTATCGTTACTAAATATGGCAGTCAATAAAATGCATGTTAAAGAATTAAAAATTAGATATTCGAAATATTATTTTAATAACATAAAGTCACCTGATTAATTTAGAAATTAAATCTTCTCCTAATTACTAAAAAAGTTTAAAACATGTCACCTTGCGAAAATTTGACAGTTTTCATAAAAATTGATTTCTTTTTTTCACACATCAACTATTCATCAGCTTGGAAAAAGAAACAGTAAGATATTCCCTTACTTTACAAACAACCATGTTTAAATTTTCAATGAGTAAATAAGAAGCATTTTAACTGGTGGCATAAAAGGCTAAAGCTTCGAGACTTAGACCTTTAAAAGTTTGAACAATGTCTATTTTCTGATTTTTTTTATACAGTAGGTAATGGAGGAGAAAATAAAAATAAACAGTTTAACCCGTAATCCCGCAGATAAAACTAGTCAAAAACAGCTCTAGTCTCGGAAGTATGTCTTGCGTATGCGTTTTTACTTACTATTTATCGGAAAACCTTAAAAAAAAAAACAAGTAAACCCGTTTTTTTTTTACATAAACGCATGTTTTTATTGTTCTAACTAAAAAATTCTGACTAATGCAAAGTATTAAGTTTTGTCATCTTTCTTCTACCGCAAACCACATTCCAAATACCTACCAGAATAGCTACTGCCTTGTGTTTATGTGACAGTTCACAGTAGCAAGTGAGACATCAATGACTTAGAACAAGTTCACAGACACTATAGACGAATTTATTAATAAGCAGATTACCGTAAACTCTCATAAATAAAAGCCCACCATGAATAAGGGCCCCCCTATATAAAAGTGGCGATCATGTGATAAGATCTGTAATGGTTTGAAAACGGTTAACCCCCCTACCCCCCTCATCACCCACTTTATTATCAACCAATAACGCCATATATGATATATGCAGCTCATGATTATGTAATAAACGAAAATAACGCGGGCAACTGTTACGTGACGATGGGTGGCTTAAAAACAATGCAAAATGATCTACAACCAACCCATCCATGAATAAGAGCCCCCTTATATGATGAAGGGGGGCCCTTATTCATGAGAGTTTACGGTATATTATTATTTCAAGAGAATTTGGTTTTGACGATCTGGTGCGCCACAGCTGCTATTTATCGAACATGTCCCTAATATCGCGAATATAAAATACAGCAACCAATTTTATGCAACAGCGAATATCGTACATGTTTATCTTTTCTGTGTTGTATTATGCTTCCTGGGATATTTCTAAGCAAAGTTCAAATGTGAGAACATACGACTTCTCTGGCATAGCGCTGGTGTCAATAGTATTATTGTATTAATAAAATAGTGCAATTGGTAGTAAAGTTAGTTAATGACTCGTCTGTAAATATTAAACAAACTCATTTACCAAAAGCTGTGACGACTAATAAACTAACAGTAATAGTGGTATTCTTATCGAAAATCAAGCCTTTATTGTGAAATGCAATTTAGTTCCCGTTTGCCTTGCCTTTAAGTTGTTTGTAGACTCAAGCTCAGCAACATAAATTTCAGTGTAGATAATTTGCAATGACATCTACTATTCAGTCTAGACGAGTAATTATGTTTTATTGTAATGTGATGTAATGTATTAATATGTGTCGATTTATGCTATCAGAAAGTGATAAATTAATCTGAACAATTAATGTTCTAATATAAATACAGCAACCCAACTTTGATGTATTGTACATGTTTAGAGTTGATTCAACAGATAATATAGTAGCGGAGTCATTGTCAACACCATGGAAGAAAACATAGGTGTCCTAATGTTATTAGAAGCACTAGGAAAGTTGCCATTGCCACTGCCGCCGGTGCCAGAACCAGTATTAGTGCTACCGCCGGTGCCAGAACCAGTATTAGTGCTACCGCCGGTGCCAGAACCAGTATTAGTGCTACCGCCGGTGCTAGAACCGCCAGTGCCAGAACCAGTATTAGTGCTACTGCCGGTGCCAGAACCACCAGTGGTTGTTGTAGTATTACCAGTGCTACCGCCAGTGCCAGAACCACCGGTGGTTGTAGTAGTATTACCAGTTCCAGTTCCACCAGTCCCAGTTCCACCAGTCCCAGTTCCACCAGTCCCAGTTCCACCAGTTCCAGTTCCTCCAGTTCCAGTACCAGCACCAGCGCCTCCACCGGTACCACCTCCACCAGCACCTCCTCCAGCACCTCCTCCAGTAGTACCTCCACCAGCTCCTCCACCGCCTCCTCCAGTAGTACCTCCACCAGCTCCTCCACCGCCTCCTCCAGTGGGTAGAGCACATGTGAAATCAGCCGTGCAAACGTGGTTGGGATCACAACAACCCACACCACAAGGTATGTCCACACTAGTACAAGGAATGTCACAACCCGTAGCAGTGCATGTAACGCCTATAGGACAACATCCGTTGACGTTAGGACATGGAGCATCATTCGGATCTTGACAACCGCCGACTTTTGATAGATGTCCATAGTTGCCAAAGCCGTCGTCGCCACTGAAACCCCTCGTGTCGAGAGTGAAATTTGTAGCCGTCCGTGCTCGAAAAGTTGTACCGGAAGCGAGGGTTATACCGCTGAATAAAAGTATGTACGCGAAGCTTTTCATGTTGAAAATTTTAAGTGAGGGAAAGCTTGGATGGGTGGGGTAAAAAATGCGAATGTAATGAGATGTTGGAAGAACATGTTCGAGTGTGCAGCAGGGTATTTAACTGTTATGTGGAGACCTGCGCCGCGATCTGTTTTTATTATAAAGAAAACAATGTAATGCAGAGGGGTTTTTAATTTGCTGATCAAAGATTCCAATTAGTTGACTCGCGTTTTTGGATTTCTGGGGATTCAGGCATTGTTACAACCTTATTGTATGCACGCATTTATGAAATCATCTTAATAGGGAAATGAGAATTGTGGCTGACACACTTTATTTCTGATTGGGGAAGAATTAATACCTTATGCCTTAATACAGTAATGAGTGATGTATAAATGCAGATCTTATTTTGATTTTGCAAATAGCGCACGGTTTTTAGGACAACGATTAGTGACATATGCATATTTGAGGCGAAAAATTCGGAGGGTTTGGATTTGACTGGTTGCATGCTATCACACGACGTTAATATGCTTATACGGAGTACATGTTGCGGGGTTTTGCCCTTACAAGGCATAATTAGGAACGTATTCCCTATAATATTGGCTTCTCTCATTGATATTTCGAGCTGCGACGACATCGCATCTGCGATTTGGTTGATTTGTTATCTACCACACATAAGAGAGCATCAATGTCCTGTAAATCTTCTGTACCGTTTGTAGTAATGTCTTTTTGTAAAGTGTATACAGCCCCTTTCAGACCGTTTGATAATAATACACAAATTTTACTGCCAAGAAAAATTGTCTAACCAAAAACAACTATCGGTTTACTTTTAGCGCAGAGAACTGAAACCTTTGGGAATTATATTAGTGAGCGAATATAAATCGTGCTATATGAACATGAAACATTAATCACGTCTGTGGATTTTAGCCTTGATGCGCCACGATCTCCCGGGTTTGTTGTTTACAATGTTTGCTCTGCACACACTGTATGTGTGCCGTAACTTGACGTTTTTTAGAGCTCAAATTATTGAACCAAGTTTCTTCATCGGATCATACTGTACAATATTGCAATATAAAAAAGATTACAGTACAATCTATTACCAAAAACAACAGAGTATAAATACTTGAACTGGTGAGGGCTTGGCGCAATAATTCTACTGGTAAATGTTTTCAATTCTGTAATACACAGTTGAAACGAGGAGATTCTTTATTTTTACGGACTCCTTATATCCAGGTTTTCTTCATCCTATACAATTAAAACAACGTGTAAGCAATTATTACATCTGCACTGTACTAATTTTAACTGCTTTGTTGTACAAGTTACCCGATATTTACAACAGCTAATATGCCAAGCTTTGGTATATTTTCTTTTACCGAAATCCAGATATACAGAAATGGTTAAGACAACAGCAACTAGTAAATTTCGATGATATTATGTTTCTGTTTATTTATATCAAAAAATGTAACGGAAACAAAAATAACGAAAAAACAATCTAATCTAACTTAGCATGATTCCTAATATTCGACTACAGTACGCTATATACCGAGAGCAACTGAGAAGTTTCAATAGTGAATATTTCATACCGTATGAGTTCTTCACATTACACATGGCTTCATATAAGACCCGTTTGTACCAGTACCCACGTCAATCAAGGCGTTATTATTAACATGCTCCGAACCAGCGTATCAGACTCTGGTACATACATACTGGTATAAGAAAACGAGTTTCGCTCATAATCAAGATATCATACGTTGATTAATAGTATTTTTCAGGCCGACCATTACTTTCAGCAGTCTAAAAAGGGTTGAATTTCACACGAATGAGGATTTGAGTTGCTGCTTATGAATAAAAGCCCAGCATTCGTAGGCGACATTTTGTCTAGCTTTGAAATACACACGTTCCTAGTTCTAGTTTAAAATAATTGTTTGTATTACAGTCGACCCTCTCTAATATCAACCTCACGGACCGGGGGTGGATATCATTGGGGATAATGACGTCATCTGTAATATTATATACGATACTCGTGTTTAAACTTTATTTATAATAAAAACCCCACATTAACATATTATTATTAAACTAAATCAATTTGTTCACCTCTTTATGAATTGTAAACGAAAAAATCTGTTAATTTTTTTGTTGCCTCGCCTCGTATATATTCGATTGAATACGACGCAACAGACTTTGTAATCTTGGTATGTCTTGCTCTTCTACGAATTTGGCGGAGTCTTTATACAGCACGATATTCAAATCATTTACTATTATATAATGCGATGGCATATGAAATGATTACGAAAATATATGTAACTTATGTTCAATTTTTCCACTTTTTAGTAATCTGTTTACACTTTAGTACACAATAGGACGCAAATCATATTATAAAAGAGACATTGCGTAGTTAATAAGTAATATTGTAGATCAGAATTTAAAATTTAAAATACTAATTTATATTGATGTATCAGCGAGGTACATTTAATTAGGAATAAAATCCGATTATGTGTTGATAGGGATATCAACGGGGTATGATATCAAAAATTGATATATGCGGGAGAATTTA